CTCTGCCCACGCCACACGGCCGCCACCCCCGGGGCCCATGCGCGTGGGAAGCAGGTGCCACACAGCCGGGCGTGCCCGCTCGTGGAGCCTGGCGTTGGTGGCACCAGGCTGGCCAGGGTCAGCCCCTTGGGGGATGTGGTTGTCACTGGGCCCCAGCGCAGGGGCCAGGACGCGAGTGGACGTGACGTCGTCTCAGCCTAGACTTTTCTGTTTGGGAAGCAGTGGGGGCGCCCGTTCTCCCCACGCCCCTCAAACCCAAGAGGGTGGGCAGACGGAGCGAGGGACATGTGACAGGAAGCAAGACCCCAGGGACAGAGAGAGAGAGGGACAGCAGACACAGGGACAGCAGACAGAGGCAGAGCAGAGCTGCGGCTCTCTGTCACTCAGAGGTGACACGGAGACAGAACGGGCCAGGGTCCCTCCTGTGCCAGGTCCCCTCCCTCCCCCCACAGACGCACTGAGACCCGGGGAGCCCGGCCCTCCCTTCGCCCCGTGTTGGGGGCAGCGCCCGCCACGTGCCCAGCTCTGCAAGGACGTCGGTGTGCAGGCTGGGTGGCGTCCCCGTCGCAGGCCTGAGGACAGGGAGGGGGCCCGAGTTCCAGCTGACACCGGCTGGGCCCTCAGGGTCCCCAGAAGAGAATGGGAGCCGGGAAGCACAGGCGAGGGGAGGGGCCTCAGCCGTCCACCCGCAAGATAGCAGGACAGGGCGGCCTGGGGAAACCGAGGCACAGGCGGGAGAGGCCTTGAAGCTGCTCCCCTTCTCTACTTCAGCAGACCCTAAGTCCTGAAGAGCTGGGCTGGGGTCCTGCCTGTCCCCCTCCCTACCTCACCTGTCCCACCCAGGTGGCCGCAGTGCATGCTGGGAAGCCCCCTTGGGCCATCCCTGGCCCCGCTGCCCTGAGTCCCCCCTTCTGCCCAGGACCCCAGCACCCTGACAGCCAGCCTCTGTGCACACGGCCCCTCCCGGCCCATCACTCTCTGCCCTTTGACCCTGGCTCGTCTCGCTGGCCTCTGTGTGTGACACCAGCCCATGAAGCTGTCCTTGGCCCCCTGCCCTGCTCCACCTGCTGGCATCGGCCGGGGGCACAGAGAGGCCAGGCATGCACAGCGTTTGCTGAGTGAATGTCTGTCCTACCCTGTGGACCCACTGTGTGCTGCGAGCACACGTGTGTCCTTTTCCTTTTCCTTCTGTGGTGTCCTGGGGATGGAACCAGGCGTCACGCGTGCTCTGCCCCGTGAGCCGCACACACCTCTGACCCTGTAACGGTCTGCGCGACGCCTTTTCCTGTTTCGCCAATGGGCGTTTCCTGCGGCGGCTGTGACGAGTCACCAGGAGCCGGGTGGCGGACTGCGCAGGTCTTCGGTTTGGGGCCGATCCGGGCGGCCTCCGTGGGGGCTCCTCTTCCAGCCGATGGAGGCTCAGGCGTCCCCTGGCTTGTGGCCCCATCCCTCCCTCTCTGCCTTGGTGTCACACGTGTCACCCCCAATTTTGTGTCTTCTGAGGACTGTCAGTGGGTTGACGGTCCCCCAGATCCAGGGTGGCCTTCCCTTAACTCTGTCTGCACCGATCCTTAATAAGACCCCACTCTGAGGGAGCAGGTGAGGGTAGCTTTCGGGGGTCACTGCTCAACCTCTCTGCTGCGGGGAAACTGAGGCTCAGCATGTCAGAGCAGCTGCACAAGCCACTCCGCTCCCCGTGCACCCCAGGCGTGCTCAGGTCAGAGGATGGTGACCTTGGAGAGAGAGGTCACTCTTGACCTTTCTGGCTGGGACAGGGCTCCCCGTATTGAGGCCGTTTCTAGAACAGACTCTGGCTTTGACCATAGAGGTCTGAACTCCAACTGGGGGTCCACTATGTGCGGTGTGCAGGGTGGGCCTGGTCTCAGCAGCTGCCTGTGTGTCCGGTGGCCCTGGTGCTGGCTGGGTGCCACCCACCTTGGGGGTTGGGGAGTCCTGGCTCCCTGGGGTCTTTTCTCATCCGGTTTCCGGGTCCCCGGCCTTGCCTGTGGCAGGAGCCGGCGGGACTTTGCATTTCCGGGGCAGCCGCTTCACGGCTGCAAGTCCCTTGCCGTGCAGGCTCAGGACAGCGCACGGATCTCTCGGCCTCCGAGTTTCTGTCCCCAGCAGAAACGCGTGGAGAAGTCGCACCGGAGCGTCTGAGCCGGAATCCGTGTCGGGCTCATCCCCAGGGACGAGCAGCGGTGCCCGCTTACGCGAGGGGTTTTTCCAGATCCGGTCGCGTGAACGGCTGGACCACTTGCCGGGCCGGCTGCGAGCCGCGATCCTCCTTGAGTAGCTGGGATTACAGGCGTGAGCCGCTGTGCCCCCAGCAGTCAATCATCATGCTGACGCTTCGGGACAATTCCTGAGGGGCGTGGGGACAACGGTGACACATTGTCGCGTCATGCATGGAATGAGGCCGGGGTGGCCAGCTGCCTCCCGAGGCCCCAGGAGGCCATGGGGCTGGAAGGGGGCATTTATCCAGGGAGAAAGGGCAGGGCTACTGCCCTGGGGCCAGGCCCGGCTGTCACCCTGCACCGGGAGTCCTTTCCCCGCTCCCTGGGGGCGGCTGTCCAGGGCCAGACCACACTCTCAGCTGGCCCTGTCCTCGTGGTGTGGCTCTAATGAGGCAGATGTCCAGCCAGGCAAGCTGGACACTGGAGTCCTAGGCCGGGACAGGTGGCCCTCACTCCTGTGCCCTGAGTCCTCCTCCCCTGGCGTCAGGTGGCCTCACGTGGGCCACCTCACTCCTGTCCCATAAGAGGACCTGTGGCCCAGGTGGGCGTCACTGAAAGTGCCATCCCAGGTGACATGATGGCTTTGACGGGAAATGTATTTGCCCACGTGTGTCTCGGACACCTCGAGCTCCAGGCCCTGTTCTGGGTGATGCCGAGTGGCCTTTGTGACACCGTGGGAGGGACAGTGACCCACCAGCCCCTGAGGAACCTTTCGTCCCAGGTGAAGGGCGGTGACAGGACCTACAGGAGGCTGGGGCAGCTCCCGGGGCCCCACAGAGCTGCCATTTGGAGAGGAAACGCCCAGAACAGGAGCACGGGGCTGGGGAGGCTGGCAGCTGGACCCGGGCTGCGGCCACCTGGGCTGTCCCTTTGCTGCCCACCTCGGTTTCTCAGCAGTAAGGTGGGGACAGGAGAGGGGTCAAGTCCCAGCTTGTGAGGAGCTGGGCGGAGATGAGTGCTCTGCCCGGCAGACAGCGCTGCAAGAGCCATTGTCACTGTAGGGGGAGGGGAGTCCAGTGGGCGGCGCTCTAAGTGGGTGGGTGACGGCCGTGCTGTGTCGGGGTCATAGCTCCACATTGCTGTGCCTGGGCGGCACTGGTCACCTGCCTCGCCTGGGGCCTCACCTGGGCTTTAAGGTTCACCTGCCTCACAGCTGTGCTCCCAGGTGGCCCTGGAGGTGGCAGTGTGGTGACTGCGCCTGTGGTTCCGGCCGCCAACTCATCGCCCTCAGCCGCGCACTTCACCCGTCCACCCCGACCCTGCTGGCGTCACACAGGGACCTCACTGTCTTGGTGGCCACAACCAGAGCCGAGTGCCCTCGGGCGGCTGTGAGGTAGGGGTGTGCAGGGACCAGAGGTACAGAGAGGCTGGAGGGGGACAGAGGGAGGGGACACAGGGACAGTGGGAACCCTGTGCTGAGGGGCAGGGGACAGGCTGGAGCAAGCTGGGAGGACATCCTGGTGGAGGTGGCCCACAGGGCACAATGGTCGCCTGGGGCAGGGGCTGCAGAGCTGGCGCCTGGCCGCGGGGGGAAGGTTTGGTGCAGTGTCACACTAGGTATTGGTGTCCATGCAGCCCAGGACCAGGTCCCTGAGGGTGACTGAGTGCAATTGTCACCGGGGTGGTGGAGCCAACCGGAGGTGACAGAGCCCAGAGCGCTTCCCATGACGGAAGGCGTCCTCCCCAGCCCGGGTGTCAGTGACCAGCAGGCCACTGATGAGGGACCTGGGTGCCACACCTCCAGGAGGAGAGGGCAGGGTCCCCTGGGTGTGGCTCTTGTGGCAGAGGCCCTGGGCTCCATCCCAGCACCCCAATACTCGGAGTGAGGGGAGCAGGAGGGACTGCAGCCATCATTGACGTGCCCCACCTGCCAGGGTCCCCCCACCCCGTGACCTGGCTCCTTCCCCACCCCAGGAGGAAACAGAAGTGAGTTCGGGGTTCAGGCGGGGGACATGGGGCCTGCAGGGGATCCCTGATGCTCTCAGCCCTCAGTTTCCCCTCCTGCGCCTTCTGACAAGTGCACAGCCGCAGACCGGGTCAGCGCCTTCCTGTGCAGGACGCCTGGTGACCAGCAGCCGCAGCCGGTGGACGCTTTGCAGAGTGAGCTGAGAACAGGAGTCTGTGCGTCTGGCCGTGTGGGGACAGGCAGTGCCCAGACACCTGACCGTGATCACCCGCCATCGGGGTGCCCCAGGTCCTCGCCGGGGAGGAGGAGCGGGGACAGGGTGTGGCCCAGAGGAAGGGGACACGAGTGTCAAGAGCAGCAGGGCTGAGAAGTCGTCGCTGGTGAGTGGGACATGTCTGGTCCTCGGCCGGTTACCTGGATGGTGACCCCTCAAGTGTGCTGGGAGTTGGGGGTCCAGGGCCAGGCCTGGCCTTACTGCCTCCAAGCTGTGTGACTGTGGACAAGTCCTTCAGTGTCTCTGAGCCTCAGTTTACCACTTGAGACAGTGGCTCCTGCCGCTCTGCAAGGTCCTGGCCTGAGCCGTGTGGACAGAGCGGCAGGCGTCCTGACGATGACGCGCTCACACGCATGGGTGACAGCATGCAGGGCCCCGAGGACGGCTGGAGGGCGACAGACGCGGTGGGAAATGACGGCTCCTCCTGTGGTACCCCTGGCGGCCACTGTGGCCTCCAGCTCTGGGCTCCACATGCGCAGAAATAACCCCCAGGGAGCCATGGCCGAGGGGCTTCTCTTAATGACCCAGGAAAATGAGTATGGACACAGGGACTTTGTTTTTTAATTTAATTTGATTTTTGGGCAGCACTGGGATTTGAACTTGGGGCCTTGTGCCTGCTAGGCAGGCGCTCTACCACCTGAGCCACTGCACCGGCCCCCACGAGGGCTTCTTGAGAGGAAATGCTAGCTAAGCAGACACGTATATACTGGACCCAAGAGAGAGGGACACAAGGAGGGACAGAGGGACTTGGTCAACTTAGAGTCAATCATCAAACATCCTCAGGCCGTGTTGGGAGTTGGCTGGTTTTGAACCTTGGAAACATGGATTCTGGGTGTGCAGGGTGCCTTGGTTGACTTGGGTCTTTCCTTGTGGCCACCCCCCAGAACACCTGTCCACTGTGTCCTTCCTGTGGCCAGGGGGTTCTGAACAGGAGATAGGAGCCTGAGGTTTGCAGTTTGGGTCTGGGTCACACCTGGGGAAAACACGGCTGGGCTGTGTTTCTTAAAAAAGAAAGTATCTGTCAGCCAGGTGCGGTGGCTCACGCCTGTAATCCCGGCTACTCTGGAGGCAGAGATCAGGAGGATCACGGTTCAAAGCCAGCCTGGGCAAATAATTCATGAAAAAACCTGTCACGAAACAGAGCTGGCAAATGGCTTAAGCCACAGAGGGTGACAGTGAGGAGTAACTCCGAGGTCACTGTGAGCGGAAGGTCACAAGCCTGTGACTGGTGCTGGTGAGGAGTCAGGCGCTCTCTCTCTCTCTCTCTCTCTCACTCAGAACAGCTGGCCCAGCCCTACAGCTGTCACCCCCCACCTCTGCGGCCAGCAGACCTCTGGGCTGGGAGAGCGGGGAGTGCCACCTCTGTGTCCCTTGGGAGTTTCCTGAGGCCTTCAGGGCTAAAGGTCAGAGGTCAAGTTCACACCGGAGCCCCAGCTGGGATGGAGGGGAATTCGGGCTTCAGTGAGGCGTCTTGGTGCTCGGCCCCCGGGGGTCCCACGGCCATCAGAGATTTCCGGGGGTGCTGTCACCCCCAGGACACCTGGCCCGCCTGCAGAGGAGACGCCTCTGCTGCTCAGTGGGCCGCCCGCCTCCTCCCACGGAGGTCCTGGCTGTCCCCTGAGTCCACAGGCCTGCCTGCAGCACGCCCTCCCCGGGGACACTGTGACAAGCTTCTGGCCGCACCTCAGGGCGCTGGCTTGAATTCCCACGCCCACCCTTGCTGGTGGCAGGGACCGAGCCCCCTGTCCCCACTGCCCCCCTCTCCTGTCCCCAGTGGCCTTTGTCACCTCTCACTGACTGGCAGGGATTAACTAGTGACACTTCTGCCCCCACCTGTCCTCTTGGGAGCCGGTGGGTTTTGTCCCCAGCTCGGGGCCCTCGGTCACCATGAGGTCCATCCCAGGTGCCCTTGACTGAGCGTCCGAGGACATCAGTCAGAACCGGGGTTCAGTCAGACAGACTGCGCCCCAGCGTGGGGACCGTCCAGTCCCCGAAGCCTGAACGGAGCGAGGGGTGCGGAGGGCAAGGCCGCTTCCCTGTCTCTCCCGCCTCGCTCTCGCTCCCGCTCCCGAGCTCGCTCCTGTCCTTGGGGCGTCTGGAACCGCGGGGGTTCCGGTTGTGGCTTTTTTTTTTTGGCAGTGCTGGGTTTGAACTCCGGGCCTCACGCTTGAGCCGCTCTGCCAGTGCTTTCTCGTTAGTTTTTTCAGGTGCGGTCTTGCGTTCTGTGGGGACCAGCCTCGGCCTGCGAGCCTCCTTTCTCTCTGCCTCCGTGTGGCTCGGGTGACAGGGTGCACCTCCACGCCTGGGCTGTTTGTTGAGATGGGGTCTCTCTAATCGCCAGGGAGCTGTCAGCCTGGGCTGGCCTCAAACCACGGTGCTCCTGATCTCCGCTGGGGTCACAGGCGCGAGCCACTGCACCTGGAGGACTGTGGGAGGTCAGGAGTGACCCTCGCTGGGAGGCGAGGTGGCCGCCGCACGGGGTGTTGATGGAACAGACCCGTGTCCTTACCTCTGACGATCGGCTGTCTGTGGGCTGGGTGCAGTGGCTCACGCCTGTAATCCCAGCCACGTGGGAGGTTAGATGGGGAGGACAGAGGATCAGGCCAGCCAGGGCAAAAGTCAGTGAGACCCCATCTTAACAACAGCCAGGCATGGTGTACCCCATCTTCACAGAATCCGTCACCAAACGGGATGAGTGGCCCAAGTGTGAGGCCCGCAGGTCCAGGTCAGTGGTGACCGCAGAGCCCGCACACCTGGAGGAGCCCATGCGTCCCCTCGGGCAGAGCCAGGCGTCCGTCTGCCGGGAGCCCCTGGCAGCCATTCCCGTCGGCCCGAGGGGAGGCTCGGGGACAGACGGTGGCTATGTCCTGGGACGTCCACGAAGCGCCAGCTGCCCGCCATGCTGCCGTGCCGCCCAGCCCAGGAGTTCAGCTTCGGCCCCGGGCCCTGAGGGACGCCCTGGTGACACACGACGCGGGCCTGCGGCAGCTGTACATGGCCGCTGTCCCCGGCGGAGAGGTCCTGGCCGAGGCCACGACCCCGGGCGGACGCTGTCCAGCCTGCTGCTCGTCTGCTCTGCCTTCGACTGCTGGGCTGCGGCCCGAGGACTCCAGCCCTGCGGCGGGGCCAGCGCGGCCGCGTCTACCTGCAGCCCTAGGTGCCGCCGCACACACCTGTAATCCCAGCCACCCTGCAGGCGAAAGCGGCAGAATCGTGGTCCAGGCTCTCCTGGGTGTAAAACTGAGACCCCATCTGGAAAACAACTACAGCAAAAAGGGTGGAGCCCCTGCCTAGCACGCGTGAGGCCCTGAGTTCAAATCCCAGTGCTGCCAAAGCCCCTCTGTGCCAGGTGCGCTGTGGGGTGCCGAGGGTGGGTCGGCCCGTTTCACAGGTGAGGAGACTGAGGCTGGGAAGGTCACATGTCCTGCCAGGCTGATGTCGGGTGGACACAGGGGACAGTGAAAGTTTGGGGACCAGCAGCGTGGCCAGTGTCCACTGGGGCCAGGAGGCCAGCTCAGCTGGGGTGGGAGGAGGATGTGGGCAGCCCTGTGTGGTGGCTGTCACCTTGGGAGGACGGTGGTGTTGGGCTCTCACCGTGAGGCTGGGGTCACTGCAAGCCCGAGGACAGCCGGGCTTCGGCCCCAGCTGGCCTGGTCCTGGCCGCAGGGTCAGTGTCATCGCAGGGTCCCCACCGCTCAGGAGCAGAGCATGGCAGCCACATGGGCCCTGTTGTCCCCCTGCGGCCTGTGGGTTCTGCCCGTGTGGACGTGGCACCTCGCTGACCCCAACCTAACAGACCTGGGGTGGGGACGCCGCTTGGGGACTCTGTCCTGCTCTCTGCCTGGGGCCTGTGTCTGTCTGTCCTCCCTGTCCCTCAGGACTGTCCCCAGGCTGGCTTTCTGCAGCTGTGAGAGCTGCCACCCCTGCCACCTGTCCTCGCCGGTCACAGGCGGTCAGCTTTCAGGCTCTGCCCTGGACCCTCGGAGTCCCCGCGTGGGGCCGTGGCTCACGCCCGGGCACCGGCCTTGTCTGTCTGTCTGGGCGCCCGGGCAGGTGGCCGGGGCGCAGGTGGACTGACAGGGCCCTGTGTCCCCAGACCTGAGCGAGGGGCTGTGGTGGCGCCCCCTGCTGGAGCACCTGCGCGGCTGCGCCGAGGCCTTCCAGGGCCTGCCGGTCAAGTGCCACCCTCGGTGGCCCTGGCCGCCATCCGCTGCTCCTCGCGCCCCAGCCGGGACAGTGACGGGCTCCAGCTGCACACAGGTGAGCAAGGGGACAGGGACGCAGGGACGGCCACACCCAGGCGGGAGAAAGGAACCTCTGCCACCTTTTCTGGGGGTGACATCGGTTCCGGGCCGTTGGGGGAGGAGGAGGGGACCCAGGGGCTCTGGACACAGTGTCCCTCAAAGCCACTCAGCCTGTCTCCAGCCTTTTGTCCCGGCAAAGGCCTCGGCGTGTGTCCCCACACTGCTGGCCGCTGGACAGTGGGGCTCTTGGTAGACGAGACCCAGGCGAGCTCTCGCCATTGTCTCCGTCACAAGCCTTGCCGGCTCTTCTCCCTAGGGCTCCAGTCGGGTGTATAGGAGCCCGTTTCACTCTGCGTCTCTCCTTTGAGTTTCGTGTTTTGGGTCTTTGTGCCTCAGTCCCTGTCCTTGCCCCGCAGTGTCCCCACTCGCTCTGCTCCTGGCCATGTTAAGTCCCTCGGCTTCCCACGCTTCTCACTCCTGTAGCTCCTGGTGGGTTCTGCCTCAGATCGCCAGCGTCACCGTCTGTAGGTGAGTTTGGTGGCCCCTTGTGTCCCCCGTCCCCCTCCCACCGGCCACAGCTGCTCTGAAATGTCCAAAGTCACCGTCTGGATGCCCACGGCCACGTTTACTTCTGCTAATTCTGTCTCTAAATCCTTTTTCAGCTGTGGCTTCAACGGAACTCGGCCTTTCAGCCAGGGTTTGGCATTTTTGCCTGGGCCGTCCTCAGGTTGTGATTCTCCTGCCTGAGCCTCGCTCATAGCTGGGATTACAGACACACACCACCATGCCCGGCTCATTCATTGAGATAGGGTCTCGCTTTTTTCCCCAGGCCAGCCTCGAACTGCGATCCCCTGATCTCCAACTCCCGCGTAGCTGGGATTACAGGCATGAGCCACCCGCCTGGCCTGGCTCGGTTGCTTTGTCTCGTGGTGTATCATGTTCGGCCCTTGCTGGGACCAGGACGTGGGGCTTTTCTGAGCTGTTCTGTGACCCTCGGGTACGGTCTGCATCCCTCCCGGGGTGTGGTACTCTGGGGTGGCAGCTGGAGCAAAGGGCTGTCACCAGGGTCACCATCTGCTCCCCACCATGGGGACAGCCATTGAGGTCGTTGTGATTTATATCAGTTTCTTGCTCAGTGCTGGGATTTGAACTCGGGATCCTCTGCTTGCTAGGCAGCCGCTCTGCCACTTGCGCCGGTTCTTCTGCCCAGGCTGGCCTTGGACGGCTGGGATTATAGGTGTGCTCCATGGCGCCTGCCCCCGCCACTGCTCCCCTCACCCGAGCCCAGGCTGCACGGAGTGGCATGTCGCGTCAGGGCTGACGGGGCCCCGGCGGGGGCACGCACGTTAACCGCGAGGACTCCGTGAGGCAGGGTCCAGGGCAGGGTGACCCCATCTTGACTCGACTGTCAGATGCATTTGTAAGTCAGGTCCTGGAGTTAGGGCCGGAGTCTGTGCTGTGCGTCTGGAGCTCACGGAGGCGACTGTCCCCCACGAGGCCTGGGGGACACAATTCCGTCCAGAGCCGACACCATCGCCCTCCGGGGAAATTTCCCAGTCCCTCATTGCCCACGGTCACTCCCAGACCCACGAGGCCCGGGACGGTGACCACGTGACTGGGCAAGACCCGGTGGCTCGAAAACTCAGGATGAGATCCGAACTTAAGTTTTGGTTTGTGTTGAGATGAGATTTCGGCTGGCGGAGCGGCTCAAGTGCTGCCTGGCAAGCGAGAGGTCCTGAGTTCAAATCCCAGAGCCGTCAAACAACGTCAGTATTTTGGATGAGGGGCTGCCTCGCCTAGAGTACGAGGTCCTGGGTTCAATTCCTAGTGCACACGCGTGCACTATTTTGGATAGAAATTTGGTCAAATGTATGGTTAAAATTGATCTTTTTTTGTTTTGTAGCACTGGGATTTGAACTCAGGGCTTCTCACTTGCAAAGCAGATGCTCTATGCCCTGTGGAGCCGCTCCTCCACTCCCCATTTTGCCCTGGTGATTCTGGAGATGGGGTCTTGATAACTATTTGCTCGGGCTGGCCTCGAACCTCGATCCTCCCGATCTCAGCCTCCAAAGCAGCTGGGATTACAGACGTGAACACTGGTGCCCAACTTTCTAAGTTAAGATGCAGGAAAGTTGGGCAGTTTCTCTGTTGTGACATCTCGGAACCCCCATGGTGAACACCCCTCCCACGCGGCCTCTGTTGTCCCTGCTCTCGCACGGCTCTGGCCACCAGAAAACCCTGTGGTCACCCCTTCCTCCTCTCTTTATCGAGCTGTCTCCGACCTCCTCCTCTGCTAGGATGTCACAGTGTCCCACAGTCCTGGTGTCCCCTCTCCCTGCATGGTCCATGGTCACTTAGACCACTCCACCCCCGCAGCAGGACGTGACTGGCGTGGCGTCCCTGTCATACGGGCCTAGGATCGCAAGTGGCCCTCGGAGTCCTATGGTCCCCTCTTCTCCCTCCAGCTGTCCCCACCGCACTGGACCCGGCCTTCCCTCCCTAGCTCTGTGTCAGAGCCGCGCCCGGCCTCTCCTCCGTGTCCCCTTTGCTCGCGCGCTCACAGACCTGGCCGTGTCCCCCTCCCCCTTGACCTCAACCTCCCCCACTGCGCCCCAGGGTCCCTTTGCCGTGTGAGGTGGCACGCTCACAGGCCCAGGGGACTGGGCTGCTCGTCCCCTCCTGTGGCCAGGTGGGATTCCCTGATGGCCGTCTCGTGGCCTGGCTGTGTTCGGAATCCCACGTGGCTGGTGACGACCCTGCGGGCCACCTTGGCAATGCTGGAGGAGAGGCAGAGACGGGGAAGCTGCTCGTCCATGGGGCCATGGCCTGACCCCATGGTTGTCACACCGCGTCCCATGGCGGCTTTGGGAGAGGAGGACGGGGCCTGCCTGTCCCCTGACGTCTGCTCTTCCTCCCGTCCCCCAGGCGGAATCCTGTCCTTCCTGAAGGACGACAAACCGGGGGACGCGCTGTGCGTGCTGGGCTCATGCGGTTGACCCTCACGAGGCCTGGACGTCCACCTTCGGCCAGGTCCTTCCCGGCCTCGGCCTCTTCTTCCTGGGGAGGGTGACAGTGACACGTGTGCAAACAGCCACGGGAACTTGGGGTGCCTCCTGGGACCGGCTTGTCTTGGGTCCAGGGCCAGCAGGGGACAGGGACGGGTGGTGACCGAGGACTCCCCAAGGAGTCCCCAAGGTGACTGAGGCCACCTTCCTCTCTGCACCCCTTTCCGGCCCTGCAGAAGTGGCGCCTGCAGCTTTGCCGTTCTCGGGGGAGTTCCCGCAGGCGGGGACAGATGGCTCCGGGACCCCCACAGGACGCAGGGCACCAGAGCCTGGGCTTCAGCGCCCTGGGCCTGGTTCAGTGCTGCAAGGTGGCCTGGTGTGGGCCGGCTGGAGGGACACGGGACGGGATGGGCGCGACCTCCGCCGGGTCACTTGTGCCAGCACTCCTCACTACAGAGCACGGTCCCTCGGTGTACAGAGGGACAGAGGCCAAGGTCACACGGCTGTTGGGATCTGGCCTGGCCTCGCCTGGGCGTGGGCTTCTTGGGCTGCCCGGGTGTCACAGCTGTCAGGTAAGGCGGTGGTGACCGTCCCTCAAGGCCGCGTGCCACGAGCCCTGCCACCTTCTGGGCCTGGGCAGCTGTCGCTGGCTTCGGTGCCTCACGCAGGGGACTCTCAGCGTGGACGAGGCCGTGCGGCCCCCGCCCTGTGTCCCCTCTGCCGCGGAGGCTGCAGTGCGTCCTGGGCTTAGGCTGGTGGACAGGTACAAGGTGAGAGCCTGGGGTCCTCTGGGTCCCGGGGGACCCAGAACGGTGGCTGTGACGTGGGCTGCAGGGGTGGAAGGACACGGGGCAGGTGGCCTTGTATCTCAGGCCACAAGACTGGGGCTACTGCTCGTCCTCCCGTCTTCCCCAGAGTCCCTTCCTCCTCCCCTAGGGAGGGGACCTGACAGACAGGGAGGGCGGGAGGCCGCGAGCCCCTCCTCTGGTCACTGGGCGCTGCCCTCTGCTGGTGGCACGGCGCCGAGCAGGGCCCCTCATTCTTCCCTCAAGATGTCCGTCAACTTGGACCTTTTTTGTTTTCAGTACTGGGGTTTGAACTCAGGACCTTGTACTTGCTGGGCAGGCGCTCAACCCCTTGAGCCACTCCACCAGCCATTTCTTGTGACGGGCTTTTTTGAGATAGGGTCTCTGAACTATTTCCCCGGGCTGGCTTTGAACCGTGATCCTCCTGATCTCTGCCTCCTGAGTAGCTGGGATTACAGGCGTGGCTCACTGGTGCCTGACTCGTTTTCTTATTTAAGTCCACTCTGTTTTCAGCCAAGACCCCAGAAACACTGAGCGCTGGGGGTCAGACGCTGAGAGGCCCCCGAGTTGAAGGCCCAGCTCCTGCAGTTCTCGTGGGGACTCTCAGAGCCCCTGGTGGCTTGTCACCTGTGGTGACAGTTTGCATGGGACCTGGGCCCCTGGTGTGGTGGTGCTGGGCTGGGGACCCTCTGTGGCTTGAACCTCTCTCCCCACCCCAACCTGGCACGGGCCCTGGTCAGCTGGGCACTCGGCGAGGAGCCACGGAGGAAAAGCCCCACCGTGCATGGGGGAGCAGGGGGCCCGGGGACGCCGTGCGGGAGGTCACCTGCCCCGCACGGGCAAGAAATGCAGCAGAACTCGTGCGTGGGGGGATGGTGTTTCTTGTTCCTTTTGCAGCACTGGGTTTTGAACTCGGGGCCTGCAGCCACTCGAGCCACGCCCCAGCCCTTTGTGCTCTGCGTGCGCTCAACGTGGTGCCGTGGACCGGCTCATTTTGCTCTTTTGCCAGGGACCCAGACGGGCCCCACCTGTCGCATAGCTGGGATTACAGCTGTGTGCTACCATGGCTGCTGTTTTTTTTGAGATGGGGGGCTTCTCATTAACTTTTCACTGGGCTGTGGTCTTGGATCGCCCGTGTCTTTCTCCCGAGTCTTTCTCCCCCGTAGCTTGGATTACAAGTGTGTGCTACCAAGCCCGGCCCGCGGGATACATGCTGAGGATTCCCTCCCCTGAAAGCAATTCTGACTGGCTGGGGCGGCTCGAGTGGTTGCAAGGCCCCGAGTTCAAACCCCAGTGCCGCTACAAACATTCCAATTATAGCCTCGAGCCGTGGCCAGGCGAAAGGCAGCTGGGTCCCTCACCCGGTCTCTCCTCCTCAGAGACTCCACGCCTGGACCAGGGCAGCGGCGGGGACATGGCCGGGGGAGGCCGGGGAGAGGTCTGTGTCCGACGACACCCTGGCCGTGAGTGGTGACTCAGGCGTGGGCTGCGAGAGTGGCTCAGAGGCTGTCACCAGCCTGCCGGAGTCCCTCACCGCGGACGCGTGGGGTCACGCCTTCCCCGAGCCGGGGTCCGAGGACAGGCGGAGGACATCGAGGAGCACGGGCGGTGGCTGGCCTCGTGTGTCCAGGCCCTGGGAACGGAGGTGGCCGAGGAGCAGCTGGCGCGGTGGACAGGGCTGTGGACGCCTTGGAGCCGTGGGACAAGTTCACGGGCCGCCTCCCGGTCCCCAGGCAGCAGCCGCGCTGCAGCGGGGACAGCGATGGTGACGGCGTGGGGCTGTGGAGGGTCCTGGGGCACAAGTCCTCCTCGCTGAGGCGGCGGCCGAGCACGCGGAGGGGCTCCAAGGCGGCGTCCCTGTCGCTGGGGTGGGGAATTAGCACGGCCGGGTGGACGTCCCTAGGTCACCGAGCGGCCACGCTGGCCAGTGACTGAGCACGCTGGTGGCCTGGGCCGCTCCTCGTGGACCCACACACGCAGGGCCACTTTCTGTGGTGTGAGGTGACCCCGAGGGACTTCGCAATTGTCTCTGAACGTGACACGAGGACGCTCAGGCCCCTTGTCCCTTCTGACAAATGCAGCGGACGGGCGTCTGGTTTGCAGGTTTCCGGCGTGGGAGGCAGGGGCCCTTGTCACCCTCGGAGGTCGCCTGCTGTGGCTTCTTGCCCGGGCGACCATCTTGGGACAGGTGGCCACACTGTGGACGGCAGTCAGGCCAAGTGGTGACGGGGTCGGTTCTCACGACCCCGCTTTTTGGTGGTACTGGGATTTGAACTCAGGGCTCCCTGCTTGCTGGGCAGGCTATGCCCCCAGCCCTTTTGGCTCTGGTCACTTTTGAGATTGGGTCTCAAGTTTTGCCCAGCTGGACCTCGCAGGTCCTGTGTAGGTTTCCGCCGCTGTAGCCGGGACGACAGGCGTGCGCCACCCCATTCAGCTTCTTTCTGTTGAGATGGGGTCTCGTGAACTTTCTGCCCCGGTTGACCTGGAACCTCAATCCTTCTGCCAGTCTCAGCCACGGGTGTAGCTGGGATTACAGGCGGGAGCCACTGCACCAGCTCCACGGTGGGTTTGAAAAACCAAAGTGGAGTTGACTAGTGTCGCCAGCCTCGTCGGGAGCCCTGGGCTGCGGAAGCTGAGATCGAGTGTCTCGGTCACGCTGGGCATCGCTAGGCCCCGTGTCACTCTCACCATCAGTGACGGGGCCCTGGGGGGTGAGGAGCGCGGCGTGGCTCTGCGCCCCTTGTCCCTGGTGGGGGGTGCTGACCTTGATGTCCTGTGCAGAGAAATCTGCAGAGTTCAGAATCAAGCCCGCGGCAGCTTAGCCGAGCTCCTGGTGACACTAAGGCCACATTTAGGTTCCACAAGTTCCCTGCCACCTTGCCCAGGCCAGCTCCGAACCCCGTCAGGGGATGTGGCACCTGTCGCTGTTTGCCCTGAAGCTGGCCAGCAGGGCTGATGCTGTCACCTGCTTGTGCGGCTGCCCTGGCCTCAGCCGTGGGGACCTGACCCGCACTCGGTCTGTCCCAGGTCCCATCCCCATCCTCCCACGCTGGCCTCTGCAGGCTCCACAGTGACCAACGCAGAATCGGGGGCAGCTGGGGAGCCACGGCCCAGCCCCGCCTGACCCCATGTCCTTCCTGGGTCACTGGGAAGCGCCTGGCTGTCACACTGCAGCCCGGGGCGGTGAGGCACTGATGCCACCTGAACCGAGCCGGGAGCTGCTGGGGCCTCGTCCCTTTTCCTGTACAGAGAGGCGAGGCCCCAGCCGGGGTCAGATGTGACAGGCGGAGGCTGCGGCCAGGCCAGGCCGGGAGGACAGTGGTGCCACGCGGAGGGACCCGCTGTCAGGAAAACCCCAGGAGAAGGCTGTCCTTAGGACAGCAAAGGCAAAGACAACACGGCCAAGCACCGAGGGGACAGCTCCGGCCCCCGGGGGGGAAATGCAAAGAGGGCGGTGGCTGCAGGTGACAAGCCTGTCCTGCTTGGTCCAGCACAGCACCTGTCAGTGCGAGCCCAAAATAACTGACCGAGGTTATTCTTGTGCTTGTTTTAAAAAGCCATTTCCAAGAAATGTCTGGGGTCACTGAGCGTTCGGCCCCGTCCCCACCCCCATGCTTCCCGTGATGGCTGGAGGCGATGGGGACACAGGGCGGGCATGGCCTGTCCATCCTGACACCCTCCCGAGGATCCCTGGCTCTCCACAAACCAAGCAGAGAGGAACTGGCCAAGCTGGGTGCAGTGGCCCACGTCTGTAATCCCAGCTGGAGGCGGAGAGGAGGATCGGGGTTTGAAGCCAGGCCTGGTGCAAGTTTGTGAGACCCCATCTTAATAAGCTGGGTGTGGTGCTTCATGCCTGTAATCCCAGCTATGCAGAAAGCACAAAATAGGAAGGTGACAGTCCAAGCTGGCGTGGGCAAAAATATTTGAAAAACGACTAAAAAGCAAAGCGTTGGGGTCGTGGCTCAAATGGTAGAAGCATACCTAGCAAGTATGAGGCCACGAGTTCAAAACCCAGTGCCACCGCAAACCAACAAAGGAAACTAACCAGGCCCCCGAGTGAGGCCCAAGTGTCACCTGGAGTGCGTTAATGAACGTTCCTGCCAGGCTGGCGTCACCTGGCCCTGCACACCCCTCACGGCGCCGCCTGTCCACCCCGCCCGTCCACCCCTGGTGTGGGGCTCACCTCCCCGAGCGCCTGGCCTCGTGGGCCGACCACAGCTCAACGTCCCTTCTTGGCACAGGTGACATGTCTCCTCCTTGGTGCCTCCTGTGACCCGAGGGCCACCTCCCGCTTCCTTGTGGCACTGACCGGTTATGACGAGTTGGCTGGTCAGTAAAGCCGGAGCCCTGACGTCAGCACTTCTGACCTGCACGGGGGGTGACTCCACCCGAGTGGGTGACTGGCTGTTCCCCACTGGAGGACTTTCTCACCCAGGGGACAGTCCTGCCAGGGGACAGTCCTCCCCAGGCCTGAGCTCACACCTGGGACCTTCTCTTCCCTGGGGTCAGCACCTGTGCCCACACGGTGCCTCCTGCCCCGCCTTCCTCCAACAGGGAGTCCCAGAAATGGAGGGAGATGGAGCTGCCAGAGGCTCCTGGGAAGAGGGGACCAAGGCCTGGAGGGGTCGCTGGCAGTGAGGGGCAGGATATGGAAGGGACCGGTCAGGCTCCAAGGGGACAGCGGGGGAGAAGATGTGGTGAGCCCAGCCACCCGGGGGTGGAGACTGGGAATTTGAGTCGCCCCGGGCAAAAAAGTTAGTGAGACCCCATCTCAACAAATAAGCGAGGCTGGTGGCTCACACCTGTAATCTCACCTATACAGGAGTAGATGGGTTTTGTAGTCTAGGCCAGATCCAAGAACATGAGACCTTATTAAAAAAATAACTAAAGCAAAAAGGGCCGGGGAGTGACCCGAGCAGTGACGCCTGCCTGGCAGGTGCAAGGCCCCAAGTTCAAACCCCAGTACTGCAAAAAAAAAAAAAAAAAAAAAACTTTCTGAAGTCAGACCAAGCTGTGGCCACTTGCCCTCATGTCATGTCTCTTGGGAATGACCCTGGGCTCCTCCATAACGGGAGGGCAGCGCAGGTGTGGAACAGACAAAGGCCACTGATTTTGGTTTTTTGAGGCACTGGGTTTTGAACTCAGGGCCTCCAGGTGTCACCTACTCCAGCTGTTGTGCCCACCTTCCTGTCCGCTTCACCTTGAACCCCCGAGGGACTCCTGAGGACAGAGCCTCAAGCCGGCTGTGGACCCCGCCACACGAGGGTCCCCCACGCCCGCGTGCCCCTGACCAGCCCTGCCTGGCCACCACCCGTCGTGGCACTGTTCTTGTCCGGTCGGGCGGGTGGCGCACACCTGTAATCCCTGCCCTCGGGAGGAGGAGGGGAGGACGCCAGTCTGGGCGCCGCAGCGAGACCCCATCTGTCAAGTTCGGCACAAGGGGGAACGGACTGAATGCAGGCTCCTTGGTGCCGAGGCTCAGGTGACAGTGACATACGGAGTGTCTCATTTCCCCCGAGTTACAAACGCCACTGACCTGAACTAAGTCTGGGAGGCCACCGGGCACAGGTGTCCCCAGGTACTTCCTGCTCATGGCCTTCCACACGGCGGCCGCGGCCACCCATCCTCGGGCCAGGTTTCCCTGCAAGGCTTTGCTTCTAGAAGCCAGTGTTGTCCCCAGGGAAGAGCAGCTGCTCCCGTGCCAGGGACAGCTCGCTCACGTCATCCCCAAGGTCACTTCATCAACACTCACTCCTGTGTCCTTAATTTCCAGTGTCAGGGTGACACCTTCCGCGTGAGCCACTTTCCGTGTGCTCACAGGGGACGTCACTTCTATTTGTGCCACCAGCACCATTTCTTCGGCCTCGCGCCACGTCTCTGCACGCGTGGCCGTTACCAGCCTGAGAAATGGCGACAACTGCTGAATAACCCCTGGGTAGGGTGAGATTCCTGTCGAAGGCTGTGAGAAAGGACCAGGGACGCCAGCACTGGGGGACGCGCGGTGAGGAAGTGGCAGAGGGAAGGAAGTGAAGCTGAGCCCTGCACCATGAGCACTCACCTCACCTTCCCGCCTGGCTGCTGTGCACCTGCCATCTGTACTACATCCACATCAGAGCTCACAGGAGAGCTCTGCTTCTGGAGACATGCCTGGGGACACCTCCAAGACTCTGGCTCAGACAGATGTGGCCAGGTGACACCCAGCACTTGGCAGTCCTCAGGTTCCAGTGCGGGGGACGGCAGAGCCTCCCACACCCGTGGTTCACTTGAGGCAGCCACTCTGGGTACGAAGGGCTGAGGGAGGCCGAGGCCACCAGTGACCTGCCACCCCCGGGGTTGCTTTGCTTTCAGCTCAGTCACCAGGTCCCCCGCCCTCACACCGACAGCAGTGCTTCTCGCTCTCACCCGCCTGTGTGACTCGTGTACCATGCGTTCAACATGTGCCCCGGGGGCCTTCATTCAAAACGGTATTTACACCAGGCGCGGCTGTAATCCCAGCCACTTGGGAGGATGAGGCAGGAGGATCGCGAGTTCAAGGTCAGTCTGGGCTATACAGCTGGACCCCGTCTTAAAAAACAAAACAAAAAAATCCCCAGGCTGGTGGCCCACACCTGTACTGGGGAGGCTGAGACCAGGAGGATCACGGTTCAAAGCCAGCCTGGTAAATAGCTTGTGAGACCCCACCTCCACAATAACCAGAGCAAAATGGATGGGCTGGAGGTGCGGCTCAAGCGGTAGAGCGCCTGTTTGCAAGTGTGAAGCCCTGAGTGCAAATCCCAGTCCCACAAAGGGCGAAACACAAAAACCAACAGAAACCCAATAAACCCCAGTATTCACGGTGGCCTTCTCACGTCAGCCCTTTGTTTTGGTGGTGGCACTGGGATTTGAACTCATGGCCTCCCTCACACTTGCTAGGCACGCCTCCAGCCCTTTTTTGTGAAGGGTTTTTTTTTTTGAGATAGGGTCTCGTGAACCATTTGCTGAGGCTGGCCTCAAACTGTGATCCTCCTGACCTCTGCCTCCTGAATAGTTGGGATTACAGGCGTGAGCACCGGCACCCGGCCCATGCCAGCCTTTGAAATGCAGAAATAAAAGTGTTAATCGACAGTGAAAACTTCAAATGAAATGAGAACTGGAGTTCTTTGCTCTGACATTTGGGCATGAAAATTAAAAATGACTCAGTGCTGGTCTTAAATGCTGAGTGATATTTTACACCTGAACGGCCCGCGCTGTCTGCAAGCCGGTCCTCCCAGCCAGCGCGAGGCGAGCAAGCGGGAGGCGGAGGTGGCGGGGCCGGCCTGGCCCCGTCCCTAGCGTCCACCTGTGCCCTACAACCCCACATTAGAGAATGTGTCCCCAGACCCCAAGGCAGTCAGTCACGAGTCGCAGGCTTGTTCAAAGTTGTTATATTACTGTTTATCTTGGAGTTAAAAGAGCCCGGCTCACCTGTCTTTAGCGAAGTAGGGAGCGGACAGGAACAGCAGTTCTGGAGGCGTCTAGAAATGCCAGCGACGATCAGCGCGGTTTCTACAAGGAGTTAAAGCAGCTCCGGAAAAGCCTCTGCGTCTTGGGGGACAGCATGACCAGGAGGAAGGTCGTATTGTGAGGAAGTTTATTGTTACATTTCTGCGATAACAGATGCGGCACAGATCCCCGCTCCTCCATCACAACAAAAGGGACACGGTCAAGGGTGACAGTGACATTAAAATAATACAAAGCCTAAGGTTCTGGAGACAAATGGGTTAGAAGCTACGAGGAGAAGTCGTATGTGATGTGAGTCCAGCCCTGTGGACGGTCCTCCCCCCCAGGGACCTGTCACAGAGCTGGGGCAGGGGTGTCCCCTCCTCCGCACACTGAAGGGGACATCCGGGGTCAGTGGCCACCGAGCCACCTTCTGCCAAGTGGCAGCTGTGCAGCCGGCTGCTCGCGAGCTTCTGTTCCCCCTCGCAGGCCACAGAGGGACAGTGCTGCCCGTGACATGGCTGGCCCTGAGCCCTGGTGGTGGAGGAACGGCTTGTGTCCCCCGGACTCTCCATCCTAATGGACCTTGACTTTCACAAGACACCCGGGCAGGGAACACTCACTGCATGTCACTCACCACTATCCCGATGTCCCCTACGGGGCCCCTCACCTCTGAGCGCGGCCCCCGTCCCTCCATGCTGGGAGCCTTGCTCAGCACTGACGCCAGGCCCCAGCCTCCCGGTGCCCCGAGCACCAGCAGACTCCTGCTTATCTGGTGTCTGAATCAGCCAGAGTGACACACAGACGACTGGGGACAGGAGCGGCGTGGGCAGGACAGGGCCTGGGCCACACGGGTGACCTGCAGGGACCCTCTTGCTTTCAATGCTGTGACAGCAGTCTCCACGCCACGCACACTCCTCAGGCCAGCGGCCCAGAGGGGCAGGCTTGGAATGCAGTTTGTGACGCAGGAGGCACCAGCAGGGGACAGGCAGGCCGAGCGGAGCAGCTCAGCTCAGCATGCACACCCCACGGGGCTGTGTGACGGCGCTCACCTGCCCTGTGTGTGCCGGGGTGGGAGCGAGGGACCCCGACAGGAGTCAGCACTGGTGGGGGGACAGTGTGTCTCCAGGGCCTCTGGCATCGTCAAAGGCCAGCTGCCGGGGACCCCGGGGCAGCTGCGACACTCCCAGCCCACCGCGGGGACACAGGGCTCTACCTCCCCAGGAAGTAAACGCTACACGCCGCCCGCTGTCGGACGGACCGAGAACGGTGTGAAGGCCACGTGGTTTGTGTGACAAAGGCCACTGGGCGTGCGGGAGGGGTGAGGAGGGAAAGCACCAGTGCGCGTGCTCGGTGGCGCTGGGTGAGCCGGCCAGGGGCATTAAGGCACAGTGCCAGCCGCGGGGGACAGGTGGACAGGGCCCCGGCACCACGGTCAGGGCCGTGTGGTCACTTAGGAGGTGGCGCGGCCCCTCCGCCAGCTACTGAGGCGCCTGTGGGTCGGTGTGCGGTGACGCCTGCAGTGACAGGGCAAAGCCATCGCGCGTGTCGCAGGGCGCGGGAGGAGCCGCGAGGGAGCGCGGGGCGTCACTGCAGCATGATGTCCTTGAGGTTGTCCTGCAGGATGGTGTCCTTCACGGCGTGGAACACGAAGCGGATGTTCTCGGTGTCGATGGCCGTGGTGAAGTGGTGGAAGAGCGGCTTGCTGCGGTTGCGCCTCTTGCGGTCGAAGCTCTGCACCAGGTAGCGCTGCACGTCCTCCAGCCGGCGCGGGTCGCCCTGGAAGTCGGGGAAGTGCGCCCGGATGCTCACGGCCTTCACCTTCTCCACCAGCAGGTCCGTCTTGTTCAGGAAGAGGATGATGGACACGTTGAGGAACAGCTTGTTGTTCACGATCGTCTCGAAGATGTTCATGGACTCCAGCAGCCGGTTGGTGCGCCGGTCCTCCATCAGCACCTGGTCGTACTCGCTCGACGACACCATGAACAGGATGGACGTGATGCCGTCGAAGCACTGGAACCACTTCTGCCGCTGAGACCGCTGGCCGCCCACGTCCACCATCTTAAAAGGGATCTTTTTAATAACGAAGTCGTGTTCCACGATCCCCTTGGTGGCCTTCCTGGCCAGCAGGATGTCCTGCTTACTAGGGAAGTAATTCTAGAAAATTCGGGACAAAGGAGACATTCAGGAGGGAAGGAAAGAAGAGGAGAAAATTAGAACAAAGAGATGGCACACAGGTAGGGCAGCCAGGGGCAGTGGCTCACACCTGTAATCCCAGCTACTCAGCAGACAGAAGTGAGGAGGAGCGAGGTTCGAGGCCAGCCTGGGAAAATAGTTCATGACTCTATCTTGAAAAAAACATCACAAAACAGGGCTGGGGTCATGGCTCAAGTGGCAGAGCTCCTGCCTAGCCAGCATGAGGCTCTGAGTTCAAATCCCAGTACCTAAAAAAAAAAAAAAAATCCCGCCCACTCTCTCCTGTGTCTCCACCACAGACAGCGAAACTTCTTCTCACTTCAGAGCCTGGACACGCTGGTGCCTTCTCATGAGCTAACCGAATTTAGGATTTACAGCGCTATTTAACCTCAAAACACTGGAACATGTTTTCTTGGTGCTGAGGAAGCCGGGAGTCGGGGCTTTGTGGAGGCTGCGAGCGGGCAGCTGAGCCCCAAGCCCTCGGGAAGCGAGTGAGGCTCAAGCCACTCGGCTCCTGCTGCGTGACGTCCCCAGTGACCGGAGCCCCCGGCTGCATACACGGTGGCCTCGTCAAAACACCCAAATGTGACCACAATGGACCTGCAGGGCTAGCTTCAGCTCACGGGGGACACAAGGACATTGGCGATCACACTCCAGGGACAGACCTGCAAGGGCCAGACTAAGACACCCGACCGGATGAGCGATCCTATGACTTCGGTCATAAACTGAGGAAGAAACAAGGCGGGAAGGCCTCCAGAGGGGGAACGTCAGGGACGAAAGTCAGTGCGGCTCTTGCCAGGAAGGTGATGCAAATAACGTTAGTGAGCAACCGAGGAGTCTTACGCGGGACTCGCCTGGCATCGACGCACCCTGGCTTATTTCCCCAGCATTTTAGCTGGCTGTGAGCCTGACCTTTTAGGGGTACACACTAAAATATTATTGTTATTATTTTTGGTTTTTTTACACAGGGTCCAGGCTGGCCCAACACTCTCGATCCTCCTGCCCCTGCCTCCCCGGTGCAGGGATTACGGGCGCGCACCATGACTCCGGTGGCTTCTGAAGCACTGTGGTGGTGGATGTGTTCCTGGGGAGAGGGTGGGGAGCGGGGTGGCTTGGGAGTGGTCACTGTGGCCTCTTTGTGCCGTCTGTTTTTGCATACGCTTGAATTCCCCACAAGAACGAGTTATGGGAAATCCTCCGGGGACCACAGGATTTCTCTGTCCCGAGTGGTGATCTAGGTGAAGTCACCTAACAGAGCACCTCTCCCCTCCACCTAGACCAAGCACACATGTCAGCAGAGGTCCGACATGACAGTACTGTCCACGGTAACTGGACAGGACAAGGTGGGAGGGCAGACTGGAGGCCGTGTCACTCACCAGCTGGCCGATCCGGTCCAGGTTGTCCAGAAAGTACTTCACCGACTCGCCCTGTCATGGGGGAAGAACACGCAGACTCAGTGTGGACCGTGGAGCTCCGACCACAAATAAAGACTGAACAGGGCAGAGGCAGACACGGGTTCAGAGCTGCTCTGGTGTCATGGTGCAAGTAGGGGACGTGGACGGCCACACTGCCAAGGAGGGCCAGGACCAGAAGTGAGACTCCAGATTTCAGTTCTGCCTCTGGCAGGTGTTGCCCAAGGGACAGTCCATTCTGAGGAGAGGGGACAAAGATAAGCCATTCCTAGGGTCCATATACACCCCACGACCTCACACACTGAGAGCTGATGTACGGGAGGAGCATGGCGAAGCTTGAGTTTGGATCCCCGTGGTGGATGTCTCCCTTCTGGATGGAACCAAGTCCCCTCCACAGGCCCGTGCACCACAGCACCCATGGGGGACGGGGGACCCAGAGGCCTCAACACCTCATCTAACATCCAAATTCAGTAACGGTCAGGGAATGTCCTGCCGAGTCTCCCTCAGAGCGCAGATGGCAGAGGACAAGGATGGACACCAGCCAGGCCAGCCCTGCTTTCACCTGCTGCCTTGTCAGGGGGTTGTGGATGAGCTGCCCTCCCCCTCCCCCCGACCCCCCGCACAAAGTTCACCCTAAGTGTCCAAAGGGGCGAGGGGACACACACTTGCACGGCAAGGCGACATTCCAGGTTTGTCACTGTGCAAGTGACAAGATTGTCACAAAACTGCTGCCTGTGACTTCACAGGACAAAGGATGAGGAGTGACAGCATCTTTGGGGATGACAGGAAGGAGAACACTCTGTCCATGAGACAGAGACACCGGGTCCCTGTTATGGTGCTGACCACGGTCAGCAGGGAGGGTGCCCCCAAGTGTGAAGTGAACACAGGCTGTGAACATGGGCAAAAAATTAGCAAGACCCCATTTTGACAAACGAGCTGGATGTGGTAGTGCATGCTTGCCAGCCCTGCTACGTGGGATTGCTGGGCACAGTCACAGCAGTGACGGGTTTCACCCAAGCAGTGCAGACGTGGAGTGAGAATGCTGTGGGGACACAATGTGAGGGGACGACACCCTAAACGTCGAACACTTAGCGAGGCAGGCATGGTGGCCACGCCTGTGAGCCCAGCACTGGGGGCTCAGACGGGATCACGAGTTCCAGGCCAGCCTGTCTCACTTGGAAAGCGATTTTGCCCAGAGTTTGAAGTCACCCCTCCAAACGGGCTTCACACGCCCAGATGCTGACGAAAAGCTCTGCTGTCCCTTTCTTCACCAGAGTGCCTCGTTGGCTGGCTTGCGGTGGCTTTTCTTCTTTGGGTGCACAGTCATTTGTGACTCTGCCATTTTGCACGTTGGTGGCCTCAATCCTCAAGGAAGGACGCACAAGAGTGGGGAGCCTCATGGGTAAGAAGGCCACCCGAGCCACGGAGCTGTCCCGCACGGCTGGAGGACAGGGAGCGGGAAGGGAGCGCAAGCCACAGCACTGACTGGAACTTAGTCACTGCCGGCCCCGCTCTGCTGTCCCTGTGTCTGTGGCTCGTGATATGTCACGCTCGGGTCCCTCCCACAGCACTGGCTGTAACAAAGGCCAGGTGGAAGTGCCAGCAGCCCAACATGAGGACAGGCTGCAGGTGGCAGACACGAGGTGCCAATGCTGTGCACTGCTTTGTGTAGACAAAGGGCGGCCTTGTGTCCCCATGACCTCGAGGCCTCTCCAGAGCGTGGCCATGGGACACGGCCAGCACGGAGCTAAGACCAGGACATGCTTTGATCCATCTGCCTGCCTGTCACTTGCGCTTACAAGAACATGGACTCGCTGTGCCTGTGAAGCACAGACAGGTGAGGGGACGTGGTGACAGCACTTGTCACCATGCCCAGCAGTACCCATGCAAAGCTGCTGCCCGCGCCGGGCCGAGGTGTCGAGTGGCACCCTCGCCGCAGGTCCATGGGAGCTTCGCCCCTCCCTGGCGCCAGGTGTGTACGTCCGCCTGCGAGCTGATGGACATCTGTCCGCCTGCTCCCCCCTTCCAGCTGCTGTGCACGGGGCTGTGAATTTTGTGTGAGATCTGTTCTCGGTTTGTCGGGGCGTGCGTCTGCGAGTGGAAGTGCCCCGTGGTAACCGCACAGCTCTTCAAGGAGCTGCCACCCCTCACAGTGGCAGGTTCCAGTTGACCCACATACTCGCCAACACCTGTCCTTTTCCGATCCCCACTGCTGTCATCCACTGTCACTGTGGGTGCAAGGTGGCATCTCCCTGTGGCCTTGCCTGGCTTGAAGGTGGCCCCGTCTGCATTGTTAATGGTCCAAATGTCTGTTTCCTCCCCCTTCTGTGACAGTGCGCAGATCTGAAGGTGGGGTGTCACAGTGGGACAGGCGCCCTAAGGAGGAGAGACACTGAGTGCTCTCTCTTTCTCTTTTTCCCTCTCCCGCGTGAGGACACTGTGAGCAGGTGCCACCTGCAGGCCAGGAGAGGAGCCTCAGCCAGAGCCTGACCTGACGGCGCCAGTCTTCTCTCTGCACAGTTGTGAAGAAAGTCCACTGTGCCAAGAGTCCACACGACAGTCGTCCTTCGAGGCTTAGACACATCCCCATCACAGGAGTCATCAGAAACGAGTCCTCCCAGTGCGAGGGGTGACAGAAGCCCTGTAGCCAGCACAGGATGCACCTGTCCCTTTTAGTCTTCTAAAAGCAGAAAGCATGCTGTGGGAGGAGGGGCGGTGACATGGGAATGACAGTGGTTCCTACCAAGGAAATGGCTATCAGTCACTGTCAGCTTAGAAAAGGGCAGCAAACCCCAGATGAGGACATTCCCAGGTGACAAGTGACACTTTTTTTTTTAGGAAAGGGTCTCACTATGTAGCCCAGCCTGGCCTCGAACTCACAATCCTCCTGCCCCATCTGCTGGGATTACAGGTGCGTGCCCCATGCCCAGCCGGATGACCCCTGAGAGCACAGGGCCCGGAAGCGAGGTGCCGGGCTTCTGCCCACGCCCTGCTCGCTCGTGTTGCTTTGAGGGCTCGTTTTGCTCATTTGTGTCCCGCATGGAGAACAGAACGTAGGGTCAGAGGCCATGAACCTCAGAAGAAACGCCGTACGCACCTCCTCGGCTCCCAGGCTCGTGCACTTTGAAGGAGCCGCGTGTGCTGACTCTCGACGCCTGCCCAGACATTTCCACCTTTAACAGCTTTGTCCTTTCCTGACTACTGCTCTTCATTTTAGACAGGGTCACCAGGCACACCCTCCTGCCTTCACCTCCCCTGCTGGGATCACAGACACAGCACGCCTGGCTTGATCTCTGGAGTTCTGCTCAGCATCTAGGGCCCGGTAGAAAAAGCTCGTCCCACATCAGAACAGTAATGGTACAGAAAGCCCCTAAGATGGGGAACCCTAACAGCTGGCAGAGGGAGAATCTTGGGCCTGGGCTGGCACCAGTCACCTGCTAGCTCCAGAGGGGTTGGGGCCATCTTGGCCTCTGGCGTTCTTTATAGAAAGCCCTGGGGTTTTTATTACCCTGTCCCCAAATAAAATACGGAAAGGATATCAGAGACCTCAATAGCCCCCAAACTGCCAAGAACTACGGTATTACAAATGAAAACTAAAACTTCTTTTTTCTGACTGTACCAGGGTTTGAACTCAGGGCCTTGTGCTTGCTAGGCAGGGGCTCTGCACTTGAGCCATGCCAGCCCTTTTGTCTTTATGTTTTGGAGACAGGTCTTGCTCCTTTTTGCTCAACCTCGTGTAGCTGGATCACAGGCAGGTGCCATCACGCCCGCGCGAGAGCACTTTAAAACTGGGACAGAGTGGATGTGTAGATGGTCAGAGGAGTGACAGCACTCACGGCTCCCCAGAGAGGGTCACGAGGCACACGTCGTCTCAACACTACTAGGAACGGCTTTTTAATCTCTCGGAGTCTTGGAAAGGTCTTAGGGCTGGGGCACCACCACTCTAGGGAGGCTGGGGCGTGTGGCCTGGAAGGCAGCAATCACAGAGCCCAGAGTGGAAGTGACCACTGTGCACCAAGGTCAGTGGATGTCAGCTGCAGTCCATCTGTACAGAGAGTGAGCGTGGGGGTGGGTGGGCTGGGGAGGTGGTTATCACCGAGGGTATCTTGTGGTCTCAGAGTGTGAGACCTGGCTCTACCTCCTGAGTAGCTGGGATTACAGATGTGCACTGCCACACCTGGTTTTCTAGCAATTGGCTCATCTTGGACTGTTGAGTTTGTTTTTTAAAAAAAATCTTAAAACTGTGTGAGGTGCCCCACTCCCATGATCCCGGCACTCAGGAGGCAGAGGCAGGAGGACGGAGAATTTGAGGCAAGCCTGGGATACATAGTGAGAGTCTGTCTCAAAAAACCAAGGGCTGGGCGTGTGACTCAGTGGTACCATTTGTACAGCTCCAGCTCAATCCCCAGAACTCCAAAAACCCCAGAAGGCTCCTAGGTGCCGGGCCCGGACATCTCCTCATTTCATCCAGCTTAACCTGAACGTGGCACCATCATCCCCACGCCTAGTTGAGACAGCAAGGCTTCGAAGTGAATGGGCCAAAGTCAAGTGCGACTAAGCTGAGGTTCAACTCCTTGCCTGGCTTCCTGCTTACAAGGTAAGTGCAGACCGCAGACTTGCTCCCGACAGGACCCAAATGCCACGGACGGGGACCTGGTGTGCAGAAGCCAGTGTCCCTCAGTGGTGGAGACAGCCGCAGGGAAGGGATACAGCGCCTTCGACCGGATGTGGACAGGGCCCTGTCCTTCTCCGCGGGGTGCACAAAGGAGACAAGCACTTGGGGGCAGGGGTTTCCGTCTGCCAGGCAGAGTCATCCTTGGTGCCGTGTGGTGCGGGCAGCAGCTCCCACAGGCAGGGGGACAAGCTGTGCTCAGAGCCCAGGGCTGCGGTGGCCAGAGACTTCTCTCCTCTCTCAAAGAGCCTTTGTGCATCCCTCTTGGTTGACTGGGCGGAGAGCAGGCCTGTGGGCTCAGGACCACTGACCCAGCAACCCCTCCCCCACCCTATGAACTTGA